ATCTCAAGCGAACATAATTCCCATGTCGATGTACCGAGAATTGAAAGGACCTAAAGAACCAATTCAAGCATCAAGGACCTCATTGACAAGCTACACTGGAGATAAGCTTAATCTTGTTGGCAAATGCACGTTGAAATGTATGAACAGACGGCTAAATTTTTTTGTGAGCAAAACAGATCAGTATCCTATACTGGGTTTTCAAGCGTCGCAAGAACTCGACATAATCAAAGTTGTGATGAGCACTAATAAAGAGGGAGATCTTAAGGAGAAATACTCCGATGTATTCAAAGGCTTGGGTTGCCTGAGGGAGCCATATCACATTGAACTGGATCCGGAGGTATCACCTGTAATAAATGCAACGAGAAAAGTTCCTGTAGCAATAAAAGGTCGTTTAAAGCTTGAGTTAGAAGATATGGAGAAGCAAGGAGTTATTCGTAAAGTGGACAGACCGACTGACTGGGTCAACTCAATTGCAATAGTGGAGAAACCAGGCACGGGGAGACTACGAATATGCCTAGACCAGAAGCATCTAAATGAAGCGATCAGACAGGAGCATTTCCAATTACCAACGGTAGAAGAAATAGTGTCTCGGGTATCGGGTGCGAAAGTGTTCTCCAAACTATATGCAAGACATGGTTATTGGCAGATACCATTGGATGAGCCAAGCCAACTTCTAACGACGTTCAGCACACCATTTGGCAGATATTGTTTTACGATAATGCCTTTCGGCATTAAATCTGCGCAGGAAGTTTTCCAGAAGAGAATTTCGCAGCATCTTGATGACCTCGAAGGTGTAGCCACTGAGATTGATGACATACTCATTTGGGGATCTGATGAACAAGAGCACGACGCACGATTAGAAGCCACCTTACAACGATGTGAAGAAATAAACCTCACGTTAAATGTAGACAAGTGCAAGTTCAATGTGAATGAAGTATCATATTGTGGTCACAACTTCACGAAAGACGGTGTGAAACCTGACGAGTCGAAGATTAAAGCAATTCAAGGTATGCCAACACCCTCATCGAAGGAGATTGAAAGATTACTTGGAACTGTAAATTACTTAGCAAAATTTGTACCTAACCTAGCAACGATAACAGCGCCAATCAGAGAACTGCTGAAGAAAGATATCGAGTTCTACTGGTCGCACGAGCAGACAAAAGCTTTTGATGAGATTAAAGAAATTCTTACCCAGCAACCAGTTCTAAAGTTTTTTTATCCAACTAAACCGGTTATAGTGCGTTGTGATGCCTCGCAGAATGGACTTGGTGCAGTTCTGATCCAGGAAGAACAACCAATTGCCTATGGGTCTCGTTCTATGACTGAAGCAGAAACCAGATATGCACGATTGAGAAAGAACTACTCTCTGTTTTATTTGCTCTTGAAAGATTCAATGCGTACACCTATGGCATGGCGTGAAAGTTCTTGTAGAAAATGACCATAAGCCACTTGAGATCATTTTAAAGAAATCCTTACATGATGCTCCTCTCAGATTATTACAGAATTATTACAGAAATATGATTAATACAGAAACATGAATCCTTACATGATGCTCCTCTCAGATTATTACAGATTATTACAGAAATATGATTTTACCTACAAGCATAAGCCGGGCAAGGATCTTGTGGTAGCGGACACTCTATCACGGGCAACAACAGATTCAGAGTTAGAGAGAGAAATATCTTGCTATGTTCACATGGTGATGTCCAATCTTCCTGCAACCGATGACATGATGGCGAGACTCAGGATGGCCACAGAAGAAGATGAATCACTACGGCAGCTTAAGAAGACCGTTTTGAGCGGGTGGCCAGATACAAAACGAGAAACACCAGTCAAAATTAAGGAGTATTGGCATTGTAGAGAGGAAATCTCAGAGATTGATGGAATTCTTTTGAAGAATGAAAAGATCATCATCCCAAGTTCCTTTCGACCAGAAATGCTGGAAAAGATTCATGCTGGACACATGGGAACCGAAAAATGCAAGAAACGTGCACGGGATGTTCTGTATTGGCCAGGGATGAATTCACAGATAGAAGAAATGGTCTTGAAATGTCCTACCTGTCTAGAATATCGACCATCAAACCAGAAAGAGCCCATGATAGTTCAACCAACTCCCACGATTCCATGGGATACTGTCGCCACTGATTTGTTCTACTGGAACAATTCAAATTATCTATTAGTTGTGGACTATTTTTTACGTTATTTTGAGATTGCGAAGTTGCCAGATATTAAGAGCAGCACTTTGGTTACTTACATGAAATCTATATTCGCCAGACACGGGATTCCTAGAGAAGTAAAGAGTGACAATGGTCCGCAGTACACATCACAAGAATTTGGAAATTTTTCGCAAGAGTGGAATTTTCAACACGCGACGACCAGTCCATACCATCCACAAGCTAATGGTCTAGCTGAAAGATCGGTGCAGACTGTCAAAAACTTATTAAACAAAGCACACAGAGATGGAAGAGATCCTTACGTTAGTATTTTAGAATATCGAAATACACCCATTGATCAGATTGGTTCACCAGCGCAATTACTGATGAGCAGAAGATTAAGATCTGTTGTTCCCACAACGAAGTCTCTGTTACAACCTAAAGTCATTGATGAAGATCTAGCGAGTTCGAAGTTAATAACTAAGAAAACCTTTCAGAAACTGTATTATGACCGAGGCTCCAAAGAACTTCCTACAATATCACAAGGCGAGCAAGTTCGCATAAAGCAAGGAAAAATATGGAATCCAGCTGTGGTAACTAATCAAGCACACACACCAAGGTCATATATCGTGCAAAGTCCAGATGGAAGCACTTACAGAAGAAACAGTAAACACATTCTCAAGACGAAAGAAGGAAATTCACAGTCATTTGGAAAAGAAGATTGTGATGATCCCATTAGTCAAAGCAATGAAGAGAATGCAGTTGGTACAGAACCAGCAAATGATGGTGATAATGCAGTATCTACAGAAAAAACATCAGAGGAACAATTACCAGTAACACTTGATAAACAATTTAGTGCATCTCCACTAAAGACTAGAAGTGGAAGAATAATTAGGAAACCAAATAGGTATAAGGACTATTAGTTATGAACATTAGATAATAGTTGTTTGACAATTAATTAAACTTTAGATCAATTAGATAATTTTAGAATAATGACTTAAAAAGAACAAAAAATACAACTTATACGTATATAGATTAGTATAGATACTTTTCTTATTTAAGAAGAGGGATGTTGTATTATTGTTTAATATGTTAATTTATGTATAAACTTAGCTATATGAGAGTTGCTGTACTCACATTAGTGTTAGTCTAATAAATGTTATACATACGGATGTACAAACATAACAGCCATCTAAGATCTAAATCTACAGATTTGTATTGCTTCACGTCTCCACCTGGGCAGCCCCATTCGCCATCAGTTGTCGGTAAAAATTCTTCGACAAATTTCTTTAATTCTTCGAACGAATCCTTCCAGATTAGCTTTCCTTTATTGTTTGAAGGAAAGCTAATTTATTGTTTTAGGGAACTTATCAAATTGTTGAGGAATCGTTCAGAGGTGTTCTTTCAAGTTAGGAAATGAATTGGTCAACATTTTTCGGAACGCTTCTATTGGCACGACTGTAAAATTGTCACAATACGCCTACTTCTTTGTATGTTTGCATGGCGATAAAACATATAATAGTTTTGTTTGTGGGAACACCACGTAAATTTATTACTGCAAAGCTTTCGATCCGTAAGCACGGATCTTCATCAGACATATTATTAGCACTGATGAAGATCCGGGCTTACGGATCGAAAGCTTTGCAGTAATAAATTTACGTGGTGTTTCCACAAACAAAACTATTATAATACGCCTACTACTATACAGTAGTGCTAAGTTTTCATGAATATTACAGTCGATTTCACATAACTTTTGCCGAATTTTTCCGAAGTTGGTTGCGAAGTTCCGAAGTTTGCCGATGTACTTCCGAACTTGGCAACGAAGTTCGGTTTCAATTTCCGAACTTCAAAATGAAATGCATGAACTTCGGTGTTTCAGAAGTTCATATGTAGTTTAATAAACAGATTTTGGCGTCTTAAGAGGGCCTCTCAGTAAAATCCACCCGCTGGTTTGGGAAAGGAAAAATAGATTTAGCTCATATTTTGCATATGAGCTAGACTTTGGTCAATATTAATCGAGCTTCTTTCAGAACGTTTCAACTTTCTGTTTTATAGGAGTTATAGCCAGGTTGAAATTTGACCTTGCGAGAATATTTTCAGACCGGAAATGAAGGGAAGTTTCACAAGAATTCATCTGATTTTTTAAAAACGTTGTGATGCGTTTATCCTCTCCAGTTACTGTTCATATGCAAGATTAACACTAATACTCTCGTTTACATAGAGATTGAATAACTTTCTTTGCTTAATACGATTTTTTTATAGTTTTACGAAACTATGTTTTCAAGATGGCGACGAGAGGCTGAAAATTGCTCATATTTTATTTAAAATAGCTCAAAAGTGGCACCTATCTGAGGTTCAAAAGGCATGTAATTTGAAAGTATACCTACTAAAGTTAAGTAATCAGGAATAAAACTCGTCTGCAAGCAATTTTCTGAAAAGTTATGAATCTCCGAATTGGGTCTATTTTTAGCTGTATGTTTACATTCGCGTGTTCGCTGATCAGCGACACTAGTAATAATTAAAAAGTTAAATAAGCTGGTTTATTATCCAGCTTCTAATTCACAACATAAAAACATTAAAAATACAACCTTAACCATTCTTGGCTTATTCGCATGAATAATTTCACAACTGTTAAATATCTTTTTAAGGTATAATCGGGCAGTACTTTCTGTGGTTGTAGCAAATTTCAAAGCTGTCAGTATCTCTGGCTGTACATAAAAAGTGTTCGGTGCTTTAACTTTTTTATTCAACTTGTCTTGTAATCTTTTTCTGTCCCTGTAAATGGAAATTTTGCCGGAAAGGTCGGATCGGACATTAATTCTTGCAGCATGGATGCAACATATTTTTGTACATAATTGCAGTCAAAATACTACAACCTTCCCACTTCCGCTTTTGTAGTCTGTTGTCATTTACTATTTTGTTTTGACTTTTGCATTATTGTAGCGGTTGTCGAATTATGGAGAAATATGGCGATAAAATTTAGTTGTTTTTTATTTTTGTAATATTTTAAATAATTGTAACAAAGGTTGCATTTTTCGTTTGATTCACTGCATATGAACACATAAGAATTTTGAAATTTAACTTATATCGTCGTATTTCCATATAATTTGTTAACCGCTGCAATAACAGAAATACTGCAGTAAGAAACAGAGATTTTCAAAAAAATAGTTTTAAAAAAGTTTTAAAAGAGTTTTAAAAAGCAAAAAAGTTTAAAATGTTAGATTTTTAAAAAAGTTAAAAAAATTACGGTTAAAAAAGTTAGGGTTAGGAGTTAGAGATTACTGGTTAGAAGTTAGGGGATTAGTGGTTAGGGGTTAGTGCCGCGAATTTATTATTATCATAAATTCAAAATGTGCTGCGAATTTATCATAATGATAATTTCGGACGTGTTTAAGAATTTACTCATATAGTAAATTCAAAGGTGGAGCTCATGCTGAACTGCAACACTAGCTTGCCAGTTATTTTTGATAGCAGCTCTTATTTTTACTTTGTGCATGCTTGAGTCATGGAAAAGAACTTTTCTTTTGCTGGCCTGGGGAATTTTGCATGTGGAGAAAGCCGGGGAATACAGAAAGTTGCACAAATTGGGGGAGTGTAATGCAGACACTTGTACTCACCCCAGCAGTTGTCACCTCACGAGGCTTACCATCAACGAGAGTGAACTTATACTTGCCAGAGCAGGGCACTTTTACCTACCCAGGAATAGCTGACAAACATGACTATCCAGTCTGTTATTAGTTCAGTTTCATTTTTCAATTGGGTCTATCCTGTCAATATGAGATCAGTGGATAGACTCTATAAAAAATGAAGCCAATAGACAAATTTGGCTAACGCTGTTTACATCGTTGCCACCCAATTCACAGCTTTGGATAACTCACATGCCTAGTTACTATTGTTCTAGTTTACAGAAGCATAGACTGAATAGAACAAAAGTAACTAAACATTAAACTTATGTATTATCACTTTATATTTACTGAGATCGAGGCCGAGGAAAACAGTGTGTTTTGTGGACCAGAGCCACTTATAGATAGTATATAAGTGTTAAAGTATGAATAATTCACCGATTATTGGAGTGAACTTAGCGGCAGATCAAGGCAGGGGCGCCGGAGCCACGGGGGCAACTGCCCCCGTTGCCGAAACAGTGCGGGGGCGGCACGGGGGCAACAGCTTGCCCTTTTTCACCAGAACTGCGCTTCGAAATTTGTGCGTTATTAACATGAATTGAAATTTATAACTATTTTAAGCAACCTTTGCTTAATTTTAACCAGTTGTAGTGAAATTAATGCGTGAGGCCGCGGAATTACTTTTGTATAATTGTGATCAAAATCAAACGATTTTTGAAAATATGGAGTTCCTATAAAGTCGGAAATGGCCTTTACAGAGTTTTTACTACTACAAAAAGGGCATTTCCTTTCTAGCCCCCCCAAAAAGGCATTTTTTCATTTTTAAAATGTGGTGAGGCACATGCCCCATTGTCCCCGGTTCCGCGGCCCCTGATTAATGCTAAACCAGGCAATATACGTCTGTTTACTGATTTTATCAGCGCCCTTAACATGGTGCAACGAATAAAATTGTTCAAAATTAATGTCGAAGTTTGCCGACCCACAATAGCCACAAGTAATCGAGTATCCATACAATAAAGTTATAACAAATATTGCCGCCCAGAAAAATGATTGCTTAGAAGCAAGTGCCCTTTTGAAATGGCTGCCCCGCCGCTTCACATTGCTTCCGGCGCCCCTGGATCAAGGTCATAATCAGGAGATTATGGTATTGTGTCAATGTATTGACGAAGTTCTTATTATATTACCAATATATTATTTAATAACATTAAAAGATATCAGGATCGTAGACACCAGCAGAATCGTTGTAACTGTACTACTGTATGTGTATATTGAAAGTGTATAATTAGTGCAAGTGTATAAAGTTAAGTATAAATGTAAAGTAATTCGAATTCAAGAATGTTCTGTACACGATCGCTTAATTGTATATATTGTAATTATATTTTCACAAAATTGTATATATTCTTTTGAACAAGCTAAAAAGGTTTACTCATGGGTAATAAATCAGCCTATTTTAACTCTTCAATTACTAGTGTCGCTGATCAGCGAACACGCGAATGTAAACAAACAGCTAAAAATAGACCCAATTCGGAGATTTATAACTTTTCAGAAAATTGCTTGCAGACGAGTTTTATTCCTGATTACTTAACTTTAGTAGGTATACTTTCAAATTACATGCCTTTTGAACTTCAGATAGGTGCCACTTTTGAGCTATTTTAAGTAAAATATGAACAATTTTCAGCCTCTCGTCGCCATCTTGAAAACATAGTTTCGTAAAACTATAAAAAAATCGTATTAAGCGAATAAAGTTGTTCAATCTCCATGTAAATGAGAGTATTAGTGTTAATCTTGCATGTGAACAGTAACTGGAGGGGATAAACGCATCACAACGTTTTTAAAAAATCAGATGAATTCTTGTAAAATTCTCCTTCATTTCCGGTCTGAAAATATTCTCGCAAGGTCAAATTTTAACATGGCTATAACTCCTATAAAACAGAAAGTTGAAACGTTCTGAAAGAAGCTCGATTAATATTGACCAAAGTCTAGTTCATATGCAAAATATGAGCTAAATCTATTTTCCCTTCCCCAAACCAGTGGGTGGATTTTGCTGAGAGGCCCTCTTAAGTGTACGCGTATTTGTTACAATTCCGATCAACTCTGCCGTGCAGCACGGCAGAGCCAGAGTAAATTGGAAACAAATTGTAAGTTTGTGAGAATCAGAGTTCAAAACTCAAAAATATTTACTGGGTACATGTAAAACAAAGACCTAAAATCTAATTTCTCAAAAGTAGCTTTAATACTGTCAAATTTTCCGAAGTCTGATTTAGTTGTTTCAAAAGTATAGAATACACACACACTTCTGTATGGATTTCGTACATGTTCTGCATGTCTTACAGTAAAAATACAAAAATTGTCCCACTTCCGCGGTTTGTTGTGATTTACTGTAATTTGTTCTGTTTTTCTGTAGCGGTTACCGATTTATCGGCAAATACAGCGATAAAACTTCTACTTATTCTACAGCATTTATAGTTCTACAGCTATCTTATACAGTTTTATAATATAATAGTGAATGATTCCGAATATTCAAAACGGATTGAAAGAATGAAAGCAGTAATTATGTATAACGGTTTAAACCGGCGTAGGCCGTACAGCACACTGCCACTGGTCACTGGGACGAAGGATAAACCGAAAATTCACTTCTCTCCATGACAAGCTTTTATAATGTTCAGTCGATCCGCTACATTGAAAGATGAGTACTTGGCTATTTTTTGGCAGGGGTAACGAAATATATCGGCTGTTCTCTACAGTAAGTGTTTCTTTATGCGTTGGCCATCGGAATATAATATAACTACATAAGCTTGATAGATGTAAGATAACGAGTTTCACAATCCTATTTTAAATACTATGGCTTTTGGCAGTTTTGCATCATATGTGTTTTTCAGTAAAAGCCCCATTTTCCTACTTCCCCAACGTGTAAATTCGCGAAAAATCTTTATTAATAATAACAAAAATTTGTAACAGTAAACAGTGTATTTTATTATAAAGGATTTTCGTTTTTCTACTGCTCCGTAGTTCGTGTGCTCCGTGCTCCGTGTGCTCCGTGCTCCGTGTGCTCCGTACTCCTTGTCTTACTAATATAGCCCAAAATATTTAATAAACAAAATTAACTGTTGTTTCAATATATAGTGTAGAAGAAAGTTGTCTTACACAAGCTCTTGCATATTAATCTTATATCTTTTAAGCTTATAAATCTAGAATAAATACAACTCTTTTAAAGTTTCATAGTGCAGATATACATACATACGTATATTCATGCTTTTATTATTGTTAGAACGACCTTCCATGTATTATTTTATGGGAACTGCTATCCGAAAATTTTGAAACGTCAGGATATCAGAAAATAATTTGCCAGTACCTATTACAGCAGAAATGATTTTAACACGTTCCAGAGCAAAGTGAAATATTCTATTTAGACAAATTCATGCAAAATTTGATCAAAATTCTAAATATTGGCAGCAAATGCAAAAAATTCCTTACGCCAATGCTAAAAAGGCAAATTTAGACAATAATTCGCCACAAAAAATGAAGTGTTGCAAGATTCAATATGAATTGGTCATTTTAGCACCACACTGACATTTTATATACACTGATACAAAATAAATAGTAAGTTTACAGTCACCCAAAGCATTGACATAAATATATAACTTAATGGCACTGCAAATGCAGCGCCAACTCAAAGCATTGACATAGAATCTATCACTTATTGGCACTGCAGTTGCAGAGCCAACTCAAGGCATTGACATGTAATCTATAACTTATTGTCACTGCAATTGCAGAGCCAACTCAAGGCATTGACATGTAATCTATAACTTATTGTCACTGCAATTGCAGAGCCAACTCAAGGCATTGACATGTAATCTATAACTTATTGTCACTGCAATTGCAGAGCCAACTCAAGGCATTGACATAAAAGCTATGACTTATTGTCACTGCAATTGCAGAGCCAACTCAAGGCATTTACATGTAATCTATAACTTATTGTCACTGCAATTGCAGAGCCAACTCAAGGCATTGACATGTAATCTATAACTTATTGTCACTGCAATTGCAGCGCCAACTCAAGGCATTGACATAGAATCTGTCACTTATTGGTACTTCAATTGTGGTGCCAACTCAAGGCATTGATATAAAATCTATAATTTAATTGTACTACAGTGCCGAGACTATAGATGAAAGGAGATATGCTTTCGATCATCATTTTGGTAAAATTAGGGCATCCTACAGGGTTATGGGGCCAAATTCCCATTTTGTTCATTGACAGTACTTATATAGTACTCACTGCATCAGTACATGTCTTTCAATAACAGTACATCATACTCAGCATATCGAAACCATGCAGTTACCAAGTATTTGGAATGAAATTTCTGTCTGAGTCGGTGATCACTTACTGTCGATGCAATGGAAGTGTTGATAAAATAATGCATGAATTCATTTCCTCAAGTTGATCAATTCATTTGATAGAAAATTGATCAACTTCCTGTTACTTTTAGATGAGCCAATTAGATTTCGTTTCAGAACCGATTGACCAATAGGAAACGCACAGGAAGTAAAA